TCTCAACTGTCTTCAGTTGTTGGTGAAATTTGAAACAGAAGTTTGGAAAAAAATTCTACCTAATTTTAAGAAAAGGTGTCTTTCAACCAGAATTGACTCTTTTAGACCTGCACTCAGTAGTTTTTAGTTGAAGCTTCAGACATGTACACGTATAGTCCTTAGTGTGTACTCCAGTACCAGTCACAGTGAGAATGACATATTGAAATGAGCTTTAGCTCAGTGATTCCTTTTCAGATTGAGGCAGAGCAACCTGCAAATTGTGGGTTTATTTGAATATTTTTTCCTTACAAATCAATAATTCAGTAATTCCTTCCACAAGTCTGTTCATGTGCCACTATTGCTGAGATTTTTAAAGGATCCAAGTTATGCAAATGAGCGTTGGTTCCACAACTATGTAACTTAAACCAGCACAGTGTTTCTCATTGCTGTCCCAGGGAGACTGATTTTTCTGCTTTGAGAATAATTACTATGTACGTGGAGGGCTGTCCTTGTCTGCTAACACTGTTCAGAATTAAGCAGGCTGCTCTTGGCAGGTGACTGGTTATTTTCAGTGAATACTGCTATCTGGAAGGCTTTTATAGATACTAAAACAATGACAAAGCAAGGTATTTTGACCATTTCTTCTTCCTTGTGCACCTTTAGTATGGCAATGGCTTTTCAAAAGTAATGTATTTTAAAATTCATAATGTCAGGTTTTGCTCCATTTTGCTTCTGTGTAAAATGAATATAGCAGCAGTTCCTGTTGAAAAAGGCCCCATTCTGTGGGGTTTTTTTAAGTAGGCTTTAGCTTGTTTTGTGTTCTGAATTTGACATTTATCTTCTGTAATCTTGTACAAATCACTTGCCTTCCTTTTCAGTAGCAGAAGGGTGTGAATATCAGCTTTCTCCAGGGCTTATGGCATTAATAAAGAACACTTAAAGATATTTCTAAGGGTTAATCTCTGTATAAGATATCACTGTTACTGTACCTGCCATACACTGGAAGCAGAGGTTTGCCAAGGCCATTTACAGCTTTTAGTAAGGTATCTCTTTCTGAACTCTACTTTTCAGTGTCAAGCCCTGGTTAAGGCCTAGAATGCATTTAGAAATGAAAATCGGGTGAAAACGCAGTGTTAGGGCTCTGTGTTCCCAGCTTGGCAAAAGCATGGTTTGTTTGAAATAAAGGTTTCTGCTAAACACTAAGGAAACTCATTTAGTGAGTGCTAAAAAATGCTGCTTTGCTTAAACACTAGTGGCATAAATGGAAGAAGTTCCATAACGTTTTTTTTAAGTAAGCATATGCTAAATATATGAGAAATCCTAGAACTCCAGCAAGGTTTTGGTTAGGAACAGCTGAGGGATCTTACCTAGTCAGGGGGTTGATTTGTTCTGGACTCAAGTCAACATTCAGTAACTAGGAAGGTATTTTTGGTTTGTCTGAGGTTTTTTTATTTTGGCCATTTATTTTGCTTATTTTTTCAACATCCTAACAAAATTAATCAATGCAGATATGATGTTTGTAGTATATATTTGTGTGCTTTCTTGTGTTTATCACCTGTGTTGCAGTTGAATATAAATGTTTAATTTAAAATCATATTTCAAGATATGATGGGAAAAATGCAAAGAATGAACTTACTGCTTCTCTGCAAACAGAAAGAAAAGGTAGTGTTTCTCCAGAATAAATGCAGAGCATGAAAATTATTTGATTCATGGAGAAGTTAAGCAGTCTAATTATGATCCAATGATGTGATGGAATACAGGTCTTTAAGTATTTTCAGACTACCTGAAGTCTGGAGGGGTTTTTACAAGTCAGTATGGAGGCCAGGTCTAAATCTTGCATACCAGACATGTCTAGGAAAAAAATGTTACATGTTTAGGGGTTTCTGTTACTATTAAAAATATTACATCTTAGAGGTTTCTGGGGAGAATTTGATTTTTGGTCATGTCAGCATAAGAAGGTTTTTTATAGCACTCCTGCAGGTTTCAACTCTGTCTTGTTCACATTTTTACTTCTGGATCTCATAATTACAGTGTAAATACTGTGCATGCCCCTTTTCAGTTCCAGTCAAGTACAAACCCCAGATGATGACTTTTTTCCAGGCCTTTGCTGTTTTGAGGCAGAATCAGACCATGGTCCAAACACAGTTTCCCAACCAGTGTCACCACAGTGGGTCCAGTGTAAACTTGGTACCTTTCATGGGTCTGTGACAGCAGCTAAATTTCAAGAGCATTTTTTTATCCTTTAAAATTCACACACAAAAAAGAGAGAAAGTAACAAAAGACACATACATATTTTATTTTTTTTCTTTGGGATCACATAACATACACAGACCTCTGCCCACTCTACTGCTTCTGTTTGAGGAAGGAGGTGGCTGTAGCTCCTGCCTTTAGCCCTGTCAGTGCTGAAAACAACTTGGTATTTAGCCAAGGGTCAGCACTTTTTTTTAATCCTAAAAGTAAAGAAAACAAACTTTGCCAGCACATTAAAAATGAAACTCGTGTATTTCCATGTTAACAGCTTAGAGTTTTACAGGAAAGGTTCTCTTACAGCCCTGTTGTTGTCCCCCCCAACATTCTTGATATTTATTTCTGTATATATAGTTTCTCTTTTTTGTTCATTATCAAAGGAAATCTTTGGTCTATGCAGCTCTTTAACTGCATATAAATCAGTGCCTGATATTTTTCAAACAAATATATACTGTTTCCTCATCTAGAGGAATAGAATATTCATATAGAATATTCAATACATACTTATAGAATATTCATACTGAGCCAGAATATGAGCTTTATTATCTTTGGTTGTTACAAGTAAAACATTAATCCTTGAAGTGCTGTTTCCTATAAAATTATGTGTTTCTCAGTGACTGAAAGCATTACTGATATGAATGTCTGAAAAATGAGGCTGCAACCATTGGAACATGAGCTGTTTGTGTTGTATAACCTGTGCAGATGGAGTCTTTATGGAAAGAAAATTGGTTTGCACTCTTACAGAATGTTTAAACTACTCACACGTGGCTTTTCTTCTTACTTGTTCACAGGACGGACAGAACCCTGGTCCTCCTCCGCTGATACCAGGCCTGGGGCAGCAGGGAGGACAAGGTCGTCTTGGCCCTCACAACCAAGGACCTGGTCTTAATAAAGGTAATTAAATGTATTGTCTGTTCTCCTGTGAGTCAGTCTCCTAAAAGAGAGGCTGTCCCAGTGCAGTGCTTCCACAGAGAAATGGCTGAGAGCTTCCATAGATGTGGGCTGGAATACAGAGGAAAAGTTTTCCCAGAAGTATTGGTTAGTGTGAAATGTATCGTGTGCTTTGTAGAACTGTATGAACTAGAGCATCCTTGAGTATTTTAGAAAACATTACAGAAACCTGCTGTGATTTTTTTCCTGCAGGTGACAGCCGTGGTCCCCCAAACCATCACCTGGGCCCGCTGTCCGACAGGCGGCACGACCAGAACAGCGGCGGCCCCGAGCACGGGCCCGAGAGGGGCTTGTTCCGAGGTGGCCAGGAGTGGGGGGATGGCAGAGACAGCAGGGGCTTGCCAGACAGACGAGGACCTCACCCCGATTTCCACGATGACTTTGATCGACCAGATGACTTCCGTGAAGATTTCCATCCGGATAAGAGATTTGGCCATCGCCTGCGGGAATTCGAGGGGAGAGGAGGCCCACCGTTGCAAGATGAGAAATGGAGACGAGGTGGACCTGGGCCTCCCTTTCCTCCCGATCACAGGGAATTTGAGGGAGGCAGTTCAAACCGTGGACCTCCTGGTGCTTGGGAAGGACGGAGACCTTCAGATGATAGATATCCACGGGATCCTGAGGATGCACGCTTCCGAGGAAGACGAGATGAGAGGTAAGAATAAATCTACTTCTCTTTCTTGGGTTAAAGGGTAAATGGAGGGAACTCTTTTTTCCTGGTTTCCTTTTCATTAAGGAGTCTATCTGTTTCAGATTTATAAACTGGAAACCAATAAGGAAATGAAAACTCTAATATACCTGAGTATAGAGTCCATAAAAATCATTCAGTAATAGAAGAAAACTTGACAAATGGTCATTGTACACAGCAGCTTCCGTGTCTTTAAACAGTAAGTAAAGAGAAGGGAGAAAGTTTGTAGAGAAGATCCAGTGACACAGGATGAAGATTTGAGACCATTTTGATGAAAATTGAGAGGAGACATGAAGGTCAAAGTGACAAACTTTTGAACATTAGACGTGGATTTTGAGACTCTGTCTCCAGTCACAAACTACAGCATGAGACTGTAGGATGAGATGTAGAGACTGTAGGATGAGATGCAATGTCCTTGTAAGGAGCAGGAACAGTGATCCCACTGTCGGATAGAAGGGACAGAGCTACAGCATCTGTTGGACTGTCGAGACTATTTTCTTATGTGTTTGCTTGTAGCAATTTTATTTCTCTTTCTGACTTATTTCTTAATGCCAAGCGAAGAACTCAAAAATAATCTGATTTAGAGCAATGTTCATGTCATTGCTCACAATCTCCAAATAAATCACAAAGGGATGAATTTGCTTCTAGTTACCAGTTTAAATATGGAGGAATTACACTGTCTTCAAGATTAACTGTCAGCAAAATTACTCCAGATTTATGCTGGTTTAACTGAATGAAATTGGCCTCCAAGGTCTAAGCCTCTCACTGACCACCAACTCTCTATGTATAAGAACATGTGCTTGTACAAATATGCTGTGGTCTTCACATAATGTGAATTTTGTGTGTTTTAGTTGCCTTTTAAATGATTTTCTTACATTCCTTTTACTTTGCATCTATACAGCTCTTCTTTTAGCTATTTTCTACCTAGCTCTGTAAAGATGTATCTTCCTTTTGTGTGAAGAGTATGAAAAGAAATGAACAGTAACTAAAAGAAGGTAACAATTAAAGCCATTTTTAAAAAGTAAAGCCAGAGAGAATCAAAGCTGAATGGTCTGCATCAGAGAACTTAAAAAGACACAGCAGACAACACTTTTAGAAGCTCAGTAGAGATTTTCAGATCTTATATTGAAAACACTTAGGGACTGGAAAATATTTTATTATGGTCCTGATTTTTCAGAAGTTTCAGGAAGGGAAACAAAAACCTGACTTTTTAACTAAGAGTAATCTGCTTATCAGAATACAAGTGTTTGTCCAGAGTTTGCAGTGATTTGGCACAGGGCTCTAAAGGGCTCATTGTGCTTGTAAACTCGATGAATTTCTTGGAATGAAGGTGAACAAGGTGCCATTTACTGCAGATGCTGTGGTGGACTTAATCCCAACCACTCCTTTAGCTGACTTGGTTTAGAATTGAGATTGTAACCGGTTTGATCAAGCATGAGAGGCAAATGTGTGTATGTATGTTTCTCTCTAATTTCCCGTCCTTTTCATCCCTGTCCTGTTCTTACTCTACCTGTGCATATCAACATGATGCTTCTACTGCAGAGACCTGCCTCTTCCTGCCTGCTAATCTGCACAGTGTGTAGTTGTGTACAGTAAGGTCCTAGGCCTCGAGGAAGAAGATATGAGAGCAGTCAAACGGGAACTGAGCCCGATGCAAGGCAGGGCTTTCCGCCTGACTGATATGAAAAGGTGAATAAGGATATCCATAACACAGTTTTAGGAGCTGTGGCTGTGTCAGGCATAGGTATGGTAGATTTCAAAACTCAACTGTGTCCGTAAGTTGCCTGAAAGCAATAGGAAAGGCCCTGTTCCTGCAGCCCTAGGGCCTTGTGTTGCAAATCTTGGTAATTTTCGAGCTAAGCAGAATCACACCATGTCAGTATTAAAGTGGGAGGCCCTCTAAGAAACATCTAGAGGACTGTGCTGTTTCAAGGCTAAACAATATTGCTCTGTGATTATCTGAACCATTTGTACCTGAAACTGTTGAGTTTGTTTTCCTAAACCATCCAGGTTAATGTAAATGGTTCATGGTCCATACACAGCACTCCTCCATTCACTGTTGTACCTGTACAGGCACAGCAGCCTCCTCTCTGTATTGTGCTTGTTTTCTGGGAGGTGGAGACAGACCTATTGTTTTTTATTAAAAACAATGTAAAAGTTTAAAAATATTGTATTGTGTTATGACTACTGTTAAAATATTTAAATTTGTAATTAAAAGGTTAATGTTGTTAAAATTCTAAATAAAAGTATCTAAAGTTTTGCTTGTAATAGGATGCACTGTGTCGTTAATGAGCTGGGGAAGGGGATGCTGCACACAGCCAACACCCTTGGAATATTGTGGTGGTTCCAGTTTGGCCAGTGTGGAACTGGGAACAGCAGGGAGGTGGGGGGCATCTGTGACTGGGCAAGGAGTGCTCCACACTGTGTGCTGTCACTGAGGGTGGGTGGCACGGCGAGGACTCAGCACCACCTAAACACTCGCCCTGTGCCTGCAGGGACCCTGGGCTGTGTCTGAGGCTGGCGTGCACCTTCCAAGTGCAGTCGTCACAGAACATGGATGTGCTTTACAAGCACTCCAGGTGTTTCAACTGGTCATGTCAGAAACAAAACTATTAATTATTCATGCAGCCATCTGCAGGCTGACCTGACATGACACTGACAGGTCAGTAAGAGCCATTCTCCTCTCTGGAGAGCTGTCCAGGCCCCCCCAGTGCGGTGCTGGAGGAACTGTACTCAGTTAAGATGAGGTGCAGAATCCAGTCATACTAAATTCCTGAAGATGCCATAGAAGTAGAAGGCAATTATCAAACTTCAGTGCCATAACTACATTTTACAACACAAAGTTCTTGATTATTGCAGCTGGATAAACTGCTCTTCAGGTTGCAGAACGCTGCTGTGTGCTGTTCCGCCATCACTGTCCCTACAGAGCCAAGGGCAGTCTAGATGCACTTGCTCAAGTTGTAAACTTTGAAGAATGGAATGAAAAAGAGAATATTTTGGCAAAAGAATTATAGAATCAATAGGAATGAGATGCTGGGATATTTTGTTATAGCCGTGATTCTCATTGCTTGTATGTTTTCCGTTTGTTTTATCACCAAAATGGAAAGAGAAAAGGGGAATGGGAATGTAAGACCACCACAGTTAAGGGAAATTACTTTTCCTTGCCTTACCTCACCTTACATTTATCATCACTCATTAATTTTTTTTCCTGCCTTTTCATTAAATGAATGCAGTATGTTTAACAAAATTTTCCTTCTATGAAAAGCCAACACAATCAACAGAAGGAAATATGAGGGGAAAACTACAAAGATTACTATCAAAGTGCTTGAAGGCAGCAAATGAGCACTTTTCCACCTACATATCCTGTTCTAGTAACTGTATGTGCTGTAGCATTAGGTGAAACAGTTCAGAAATGAGTTGATTATAAAACTGAAGCTGACTCAGTTCTACCTAAATCCCATATTTGTATCATGTTTTTTCTTGTAGCTTCAGAAGAGGAGGACCCTCAAGACATGAGGGCCGGGGACCCAGGGGCAGAGATGGCTTTCCTGGCCCTGAAGATTTTGGGCCAGATGACGCTTTTGACTCTCCAGATGAAAACTCCAGAGGAAGGGACCATGGTGTCCGGGGGCGAGGTCGCGGTGCTCTGAGAGGTGAGGGGAACATCCTTCCACATGGAAATGCAAGGAGGAAGGAAAGGCATTTCTTGGGCAGACAGTATTCTCACGAATGCAATGTCTTTTCTCACTCCTGTCCCTTGCTTCTCTTACTGCTCAGGAGCCCGGAAGGGTTTGCTTCCTACTCCAGATGAATTTCCACGCTTTGAAGGAGGGCGGAAACCAGAATCCTGGGATGGAAACAGAGAACCAGGTAAAACACTTGGTGAGGTTTGTAGACTTCTACAATATAACCCCTTACAAAAGTATTTTAAAATCACCTCTTTTTATTGTACCTTGTGTGTTTGTTACCAGTATTTTACCATGAGAAAAGCCAAACATAGTTCTTTGGTCTTTTAAATTTAGGAAAAAAAGAATTATACAGAATTTAACTGACTCTAAATACAACTGTCTTCCTGAACAAAAAGTTACTGTGGCCTCAAAGTCTTGATTTTCAGTTGAGTTCTTGTACAGAACTGCCTGGACAGCTGTCACTTGTGGATGACTAAATCACAGTCATCGTGTGTTTTTTTCAAGATATATATTAATGCCAGTAGGAATCTTTCACTTGTTTGGCATCTTCTTCATTTGCAAGAATAATGTTTTCAGCTACAATGTCTGACAGCTTGTTGGTATTTGCATTTGTGTTACAAATGGCAACCTCATATGGGGCAAAACTGTGTAGAATGTCATGGGAAAAATGAGCACAAATGACACGTGAATAAAAGAATGCCTCTAAAATGATGAAAACATTTTATACTGAAAAGAACACTTTTCAGTATAAAATCTGCCACATTTTTCTTTCCCATCAAACACCTGTTTTACCTTTAGCTTTCTTACTAAAAAATGGGACAGGGGAAGCTTTATGTAATTTGAACTTAAAATTGCGTGCCAAATAGTGTGGGCAGTATGTAAATTTGTGTGACTGCCTCCAGAACTGAGGAATAAGGACCCAAAGAACATGACTCATTATCCTGTGTTTTTGTGCCCAGGTCCTCGTCCAGATCACCCTCCTCACGAAGGACACTCTCCAGCCAGCAGAGAACGTTCTTCCTCGCTCCAGGGTATGGACATGGCCTCACTGCCACCACGGAAACGCCTCTGGCACGATGGACCGGGGACCTCTGACCACAGAGACATGGACGCTCCAGGTGGACCTCCAGAGGAGAGGGGCAAAGGTAAAAAGCCCCTTTTATTGAAACCCTTATGTAACAGTGGCATGTTTTTCAACATTAGGCTTATCTAGAACTTCTCTGTTCAGAGGGGATAAAGCTGAGCTAGTAAATATCTGACCTGGGAAGCTAAAGAGCAGTCTTATAGGAACATAAGAACAGAGGGATTTTGTGGGACATCAAATCCAAATCTTCTCTCCAGCATTACAGAATCCTCTTCGTTATTGCCCTGTTCAAAAGCAGTTAGTTTTTGGCTCCCTGTTACTCCAGCTGGAAAACTCATTAAGAACACTTTTTTCTAATTTTCAGAATAGTTTTTTGTTACTCATGTTTGTGCTATCATCCTTTAACTGAAACATAAGAACACTGAGCCTGTAGTGATATGTCCCCGAAACATTCTCTAAACCTATGAAGATCTGCAGTTCAGTGACTTACTGAAACATTTTTATGTTTAATGGCTTTTGACAGTTAACTTTTGTATGCTTCTCTAATTGCTTTAGGAATCATATGAACTTTTGATATTCAAAGGATCCATGGGCAGAGCTCTTAAACTTAATTGCAGTAGATTATGCTTTGAAAAAAAAAAAGCAAGGAAAATGTTTCTCTCCTGATTTGTGCCTACCATTCACTGATTTCATTTGATGTGTTGTAATTAAGTTGAAAGTTGATTCCTGTTATTTCTGAATGCCATCTCTGATTGCACTGAACTCCATTTCCAGCCTGAACTAGCTCTTCTCCAAGTCAGATCTCTGATCTGTTTAGTTGTTCTCTCTAGAAGTTGTTCTGTATCTTTTACTATCCTTATTACTCTGTATATACTATTTTCAGTTTTAAATTATCCTTTCCTAAATTAAACAAGGTAACTAGTAATTGCAACACTCTATTTAAGATGTGGTATAACCACGGATTTCTACACTTCCCTTGGTCTTGTTCTGTTTTCTCCATTCTTTCCTAACAGCTTCTCATGTCATAGTTCCCTCTAACTACTAAGCAGTCACATGCTACTGTAACCCACAAAACACATTGGTTTTGGAGTTTGTAGCTGGTTCAGAGCTATTGCTGTGCATGCCAGTTCCACAGTCATCCTATTAGCCTCGAACTCACAGATCTCAGGACTGCTGTTGGGTTTTTAAAATGTTGGCTTTCTTTAATGTCCCCACATTGACTACCCACTGTCAGTAACAAAGGTCCTTCTCAGTTGCTTCCAGATGCTGAGCTGCCAACCTACAGCTGAATTTTTTGTTGTTACTGCACAGCTTTGTCTTTGATGCCACTGAATTCCATCCCACTTCTCTTACCATTGTCTTGAAGCTCATTCAGTTTAACTGCATGTCACTCCTCCTCTGCATGGACTCTATTCCCAGTGTTGTATTAACAGCAGGTTTTATCATTCTTTCATAGGTGTTTTGAATAAAACCCTGCTGGTAAACTCCCTCTCATATCAATAGTTTTCCTTCCATAACTGCATGCTGTGTTTCTCATGTAGCCAGCATTCATCAAATCTGTGAGGATTCCTTCTCCAGCTTCAGTAATGATTAGTGGTAACTTTCAGATTCTTTATTGACGTTAAAACAATTGTTGTCCAGGCACAAGAATTGTGGTAATTAACTCAAAATGTGCTAAAGAAAGTTCAGAACAATGACAGAAAGCCTGATAAACAAACCATGAACAATACTTTTTCATATATGGGCTGTGCCAGCTTTAGTTGTATTACTAAAGTCATCTAAAGATTAAAACTTCATTAATTATAAACTCTGTGGAACAATTTGGTCTCTGTTTTCCACAGAACCAACCAGAGTCAACAAAAAAATCACTTTTGCTAAAGTGGAGCATAAATATCCTGATTTAGCTGTAGTGTGCATCCATAAAAGAAGGTTACTGTTAAATTTGTTTTTTCAAAATACTGCTTGTTATTTTAGGCTAATGAATTGGGTTGGGGTTTTTTTAATGCTCATTTACATATCAAAACCAAAAAGATCTGTGAGAAGTAGAAAATCCTGTTCCTGGCCGTAAGAGCTTGTGTAGCTTTTGTTCCCAGTTAGTAGTAAAATAAAGTGGTTTTCCATTATTTCTAGCAAAAAAGGGAACAAAACAGTAATGTTACTCATTATCTTCACCATCAACCTCAACTGTCTTAACTTGTCATCAGTGCAGTGTCTTTGTTTAGGATTAAAAAAAAAGTATTTTGCAATAAAAACATAGCGAGAACCACAGATGGTGTTGAAGCACAAGAACCGGGAGTGCCTGGCAGTGTGGAGGACGTGCTGTCACTGTTTTGACTGTAGCAACTATAACCTCTAATTTCAAAGGAATTACTTGATTGTTGCCCAATTGTATAGAGGGAGGAGGCATAAAATTGCAGGCCTCAGCTACATATGGTCTGTGAATGATGACACCACAGCAGAACCACCTTAATGTACGGCGTGTCCGAGAAGGGACACAACTTAGACTTAAACCAGTAACTGCTGTGCTTCCTTTGTAGGACGAGGAAATTCAGGACCTTCACAAAGAGCACCAAAATCTGGGAGGTCTGGTTCGTTAGATGGAGACCACCACGATGGATTCCACAGGGATGAAGCCTTTGGTGGAGGCCCCGGGGGAGGCAACAACCCTTCTCGAGGAGGAAGGAGCGGAAGTAACTGGGGAAGAGGAAATAACATAAACTCTGGCCAGTCACGAAGAGGAGGATCTAGGGGTGGAAGAGGACGATAGAAGAGGCTTTGGCTGGGTCACGCCCAGTCCTTGTGGGACAATATTTAAATAGACTGCTACTCTGGACTCAGTCATTTGCAATGCCATGAACCTGGATTCTTAACTGGGATAACTGAATGTGCATTAGTTCCTAACAGGGGTCTTTTCCTAAATCAGTCAACTGCCTCTAGCTGCAACATTGTAGCTGGCTTTGTTTTGTCCTCTCCACTCCCATTTTCCTCACTTTCTTACCTACTTTATTTGTGAAGAGCTGGAATTTTTTTTAAGTGTTGGGGGACATGGAGCACTTCCACAGATTTCAGTTCACCTCCAGACAGAAACTTGTTTCTATATGTACAGTTTGTCAAAGAGTTACGTTGTTTTTGTATGAATACAGAATGTAATTTGCGCAAAAATTAACAAAAAAATCAACGTAGTGTGTGATTCTTTACTCACCTATTACTATAGGGGGTTGTCCTTAGGCAAACTTGTGTTTCAGATGGAGCAACAGAACTACCTCCTGAAATCTCAGCCATTTAAAATACTGAGAGCTGACTCGTAGTTTTTTGGTTTATCATGTACAGAGAACCTTCATTTTCACCTTTAGCCACAGCTGTGTACAGATTACAGGTGGTGCTGACGTTAAAATTCCAAAACACAGGCAATCACCGCTGCTTGCTAGTCTGCCATCCTGGAAGAGAAAAACGTGGAACACCATTTAGAACAAGTTATCAAAGACATAGTGTGAGTTATAACCTGGATTGCAAGACAGACATCATGACAAATACTGTCTTCACCTGGGCGAGTCAAGGGTTTTTGTTCAAAACAGCATCTCTTTATAGAAATTGAGAAAGAACGAAGTTTAGCAGCTTGACTGATATATTTTACAACAGCTGTATGACACATTGCTTAAAGCTATGGGTGTTCAGCAGAGTCTGGTGCATTAATTGCTGAAGTGCAAACCTCGATAGTTCATCACTTCCATATTAACACAAGTGTCTTTTTCTTTAGGATATTGTTACCTGATTTTACTAGAGGAGGGAAATGAGACGTAGGGGTTACTCCCATTTCCCACATTTCATAATAAAGCTGCTTACCAACCATGAGTTTGTCTTCCCCATAAATCATTCATGTTAATCATCTCCAGTCACCAGGTTATCAAAAGGTTCCTTTAGTACCTTAAGCCTCAGTGAAAATGTTATCATGCAAGTACCTATACTACAGACCTTCTCAGGAAACTTCTACATTAAAAGTATAGCATATAACATATAATGAAAAATTACTACCAGGCTTCCCTCTCTCCTGCCTTGAATTCCAGGTTATAATAAAATATATTAATTAGTCAGTGTAGTTCTAGAGGCTACTGCAATACCACAGTGACACACAGCAGCTATTGCATCTGACTTCTCATACAGTCAGGTTTACCAAAGACTGGCTCAAGTCTTGATGATCTTAACTTAAAGACCTCGAAGCACAAATGCTTAGCTGTTGTTCTCTTGGTTCAGGCAGTCACAAGTAGAGTTTTCTTCTTAGCTTTTAATTTGTAGTGTATAAAATGGCATTTGAAAATTCTAACTGATCATTAGCCTATAAAATCCTTGTCATGGGGCTCAGGAGAGACAGAATGGTCTTAAGGGGATTAACTGGGAAACATCTGAGATGCATCTGATATGACACAGTTTCTCCCTTGAGAGTAAAAAAAGTACTTTTTAGCTCTATCTGAAGGGCTTTGGTAACTTTGGGTATATGTCTGGGAGTTAGGATCTGTCCTGAAGTTTTCATGATAATCACTGGCAAAGAGGAAAGCTTGCCCTTTTTTTTTTTTTTGTTACCAAGCCCTACATATTTTTAAGGGGCTAAAAGAGGTCCAATAGCATAGTGATTTAGAGGATGAGCTTTAGGCTTTAATTAAACCACAGTCCTCTACCAAAACAAGTTAGAGTGTACCTAACTATAGGTAGCAGCTTTATCTGGACAACTTTTATTTCCTCTGATGGGTGGTTAATTCCTGAAACCACTATGATACTTGGTGTTAAGTCATATTCTTCATCAAAGGGCAGCTTCTTTAGTTAAGTTTTGAAATATTTCACGATCATGAAATATGCTCAGAAAGTTATAAGAAAACTTGATAATTAGCTAGCTTTTTTACAAAATCTTAGGTGACAGCATAGCAGGAGAGACAGAAGCAGCTTCCCAGTCCGTGATACCATGACTCACTATTGCTGGGAAATAGACAAAATTATTTATTAGGAATATACTTCTGTATTCATCGGTCATGTTCTTTTACCAGCGTTGCACATAGAATCTTATGCTCTACCTGTGAGTTTAGAGCTCCACCTTGTCTCAGATTTGTTTAATTTTATACTGCTGTTAGGAATAAAATCAATTTTATATACTGTAGCTTAGAAGTTGTAAAAATGAAAGAACTAATTTAATGCTATTCAGATAGCTCTGATCTACATTTTTATGGGAAAAAAGTGACCATTAGTGAAATGTCTATATTGACAACTGGACACAAATTGTTTTATTAAAGCAATCTATGTACATTTAAGTAACCCCTTTGACAATTTAATTCAGAAAGGTATTTGGTGAATACGTTAAACCTTAAGTGGTGGTAGCAGGTAAGTATTGCAGTGTTTGGTTTTATTTTGTCCATGAGGCACAAACGCTCCATGAGATCCTGGGGCTCTGCACAGGTGAGGCCTGGTGGTCCCGTTTCCCTGCAGTAGCCCAGTGCACAGTCCAAACTGGAGCACCCTGCTCCATCACCCTGAAATCAGCACCTTCCTAAGTAAGGCTCAGTTTCTGAACTGAAACAGAGCTCCAGTTATTAGCAAAACTATTTTTGAAGGTCATGCTGTGACAAGGAAGCAATTCCTGCCTCAGTTCAGAGAGCAAAATATATATACAAAATAAAGTTCGAAGAGATGAAGCTACCCTTTTAAAGCCTGAGAATTTGGTCCCTTACAGCAGCTCTAAGGCAGCAGCACCTGCAAAGGCCAAGGCTCCTAATTAATATTAGCACCTTTCATCCTCTCATTGTCATGCAGGAAGACCCCCCCCCTTACAGTTATGGGCAGTCTTTGCGACCCACAGCCCCAGGAAAGTTTGTTTCACTTACTGCATGGTATTTCAAAGCTGGTTTTAGAATTAAATGCAGTTTAGTGGCCACAGTCTTCAGATTCACCACAGCACGTTCAGAGTGTAGGGGTCAGTACAAAATGAGGTAAAAACAGTTAATTTTTGAACGTTGTCCCCCAGACGTGACCGGATTTTGCTAAATCATCTTCGTGTTTCAGCATTCGTCGGCTCTGTGCGCCTCGGCCGCTCCTCGGTAACGGGCAGGTCCATAATTGCACCGCGTCGGCTCCGATCTCACTCACGATCTGAAGCAGCGGCAGCAGCCACGTGGTCCCATCCTGGAGGTAGGGAAGTGGGATGCTGCCAGCTCCTACCCAGCAGTGGAGCGACTCCAGGCCATGGCTATGGAGCTGCCTGCGCCGTAAGGCAAATGCCGGCAGGTTGACACCTGAGCGCGGCAAGCACAGCTCGGGGTCACCGGGCCCGCTCCGGGCCGCCAGCCGCTGCTGCTGATCTTGGAGAACCGGCGAGAAAAACGCGTCAGGGCGCGGAGAGAGCGGCGTTCCCCGTCTCGGAGTCGGCTGGCGAGAGCTCAAGGCTCTCGGCCCGCGGGCGAGTCAGTGCCCCTGACGCGGCCGCTCCTCCGCCGGGGCGGCGGCAGGGCCGGGCTCACCCGGGCAAGGCCGGGCTCAGCCCGGCCGCTCTCACACGGGCAGTGCCTTGCCTCGGCCGCTCAGCGCGGCGCGGAGCAGGCCGGCCAAGCGGCGCAGGCCGGCGGCGCCGCCGGGCAGCGCGG